GAGATGCCTTCAACAAATCTTCTATAATACCTGACCAAGCCCAAAAAACTTTGAATATCAGTGGGACATAGAGGTCTAGGACAATTCTTAACCGCATCGATCTTCTTAGGATCAACCTCTATACCCAGGCTTGACACTATATGACCGAGGAAAGCTACCGACCTTAGCCAAAACTCGAACATGCTAAACTTAGCATACAATTGTTGGTCGTTAAGGACTTGCAAAACTATCCTCAAATGCTCCATGTGATCACTCTCACTCTTAAAATAGATCAAAATATCGTCAAAAAATGATCACAAATGAATCAAGATATTGTCTAAACACCCCATTCATAAGATCCATAAAAGCTGCCGGAGCATTCGTTAGACCAAAAGACATCACTAAGAATTCAAAGTAACCATACATAGTTCGGAAGGCTATTTTAGGAAGATCAACATCTGTCACCCTTAATTGGTGATAGCCCGAACATAAGTCAATCTTCAAAAAATAACTCGCCCCTTGGAGTTGGTGAAATAAATCATCAATTCTAGGGAGCGGGTATTTATTTTTTATAGTGACCTTGTTCAGCTGGCAATAATCAATGCACATCCTAAGGGCCTATCCTTCTTTTTCACAAATAAGACCGGTGCACCCCATGGAGATATGCTTGGTTGAATAAAACCCTTATCTAGCAAATCTTTGAGTTGAGCTTTTAACTCTTTCAACTCAACCGGGGCCATCTGGTAAGGAGGAATAGATATGGGTTTTGTATCTGGTATAAAATCAATGCCGAAGTCTATTAGTCTATTTCCCGTTCCGGAGGAATATCGGGTAAGTCATCAGGAAAAACCTCAGGAAACTCCCTCACTATGGGGACCGACTCTAAAGGAGGAGTCTCGAACTCAACGTCCTTAACCCATACAATATGGTAGATACAACCCTTAGAAATCATTTTACAAGCTTTTAGACACGAAATGATTCGACCTTTAGGAATTGAATTTCCCCCTTTCCATTCAAAAATGGCCTCATCAGGAAACTGACACTTCACTACCCGAGTTCTACAATCAATGGAGGCAAAATAAGCATGCAACCAATCCATCCCCAAGATAACATCAAAGTCTGACATATCTAACTCTACCAAATCAACTCGAGTGACTCTATGAGGTAAAGAAATGGGACAATTTCTATAGACTCTTTTTGCAACAACTGAGTCACTAACTGGGGTGGACACTGAAAAAGGTTCTATTAGAATTTCAGGGAGTACATCAAATTTCATAGCTACCAAAGGTGTAACAAAAGATAAAGTAGCACCAGGGTCTAACAATGCATAAATATCAATGGAAAATACTTGTAACATACAAGTGAAAACGTCCGGGGATCCTTCTTGATCACTTTGGAACTGGAGAGCATAAAAGCGACTCTTCTTCGAAGCATCCGAATTAGAACCACTTGGGGGGCCTTGATTACCCACTCTTCCCTTAGCTGAACGGGTTGGGAAATATTTTAGTTGATGCCCACCCTTTCCACATCCATAGCACACACCCATACCGACAAGACATTTATCTTCATGCTTCTTACCACATTTTGCACAAGTAGGCCTCTCGACATAAGAACCACTTCCACTACCACCCTGTGGCTTAGGAGTAGGCACCCTTTCTTTGTTGACATTAGAAGTGTTAGTGGTACCTTGATTAGAAATATCTTCTTAAACTTTGGTTTACCTTGAACCTCAAATCTGCCTTTAGACGAATTGCTATCATCTACTCTTGTCCTCTTCACTTCTCTTCCAGTCTGCCTAAGCTTTTCTTCCTCAATTTGTTCGGCATGAAATTATCATGTTTGGAATGAGCATTGCCGAACGACACTCGTTTACCACCAAGGAAGATATCGCCATAACATATTTTTTCATCTTGTCCCTTGAGTCTTCTACTAAGGTTGGAGCATGCTTAGACAATTGCGCGAACTTAAGGCCATATTCTTTTACACTCATACCTCCTTGGCGAAGGTTGATGAATTCCTGCATCTTCATCTTCCTCAATTATAGTGGGAAAAACCTATCAAGGAAATCCGACTTTAATGCTTCCCAATCAATCGGGCCCTCTCTCACAGTTCTCTCCCCTTTCCACTATTCATACCAAACCTGGCTACGTCCTTCAACTAGTAGGTGGCCAATTCTTCCTTCTCACGATTAGTCACTCCCATATCATCAACCACCTTCAACACTTCATCTAGAAAGCCTTGTGGATCCTTATCCACTTTGAAGCCATAGAAGGTAGAGGGATTCATTCTGGTGAAATCCCTAATCCTGGAAGCGGCTGTGCTAGGATTCGGATTCTGTTGAACTCTTGCGTACCTAGTGACTTGATCCGTCAAAGCCTGAGTTAGGGTCTAGAGAGCCGTCCTAATCTCCACATTAGTCATAGCTCCCGCTTTATCAGGCACTTGAGGATTCAGAGGAGCTTGGGGAGGATTCCCCTCATTGACATTCTCCTCTTTCCCCTCCTTGCATTACCTCTCCTTGTATTCATTTCCTATAATCGTAAGAAAAAGATTAGAAAGGAGATCATAGGGCTAAGATTTCAAGCACCAATAGAGTGTGATGAAAGAAGGAAAAAATTCCTAAACATTCTATGGTCTCTCACACATAAGTGTGGCGCGCTTCATACTCATGAACAAGACTCTATTAGACGTGGTTTCATGAGACATTAATCCTAAATATTATTCCCAAAACCTTTTTCTCTGATATCAAGTTTGTCATGACCTAAGGTTACCAGACATAACATGCGGTAGTTGACCCCGAAGGGGTCGCATACAAGACCTTAGCATAATCATACACATAATGTCATAAGAAATAATGCAAAAAATTAAAACTTTTCTTAATAGAAGTCAAACTTCAAATTTCATGTATAAAGAGTTGTGGAAATACTAGACTTGTCTCATTAAAAACCATCTAAACATAAGAGTACGGAATTAGGGACTTAACCCTTTACATCAATGAAAGTCTTAACATAATAAAATACGACTAAAACTAAGACTGAAATAAACATCTGGTCCTCGAACTGGAGGACTCACCAAAACTTAAGGAATAGTCGACCCAAGTTTTACTTTGAAGAAGGAAGTAATGAATCAACGTTTGGGACCTATACTCATAGTATGTAGAAAAGAAGGGGTTAGCACAAATATATACTAAGTATGGAGATATGCATAAAAACATTTAAATATGCTAAATAGGAGATTTTTCTTAAAAGTATGCATTTATCAAGTTTGGAAAGCCAATATGCATTTTCAAACATAGAAGACAAGCTATAGTCACAATACACTCATAACATAGTAATATCAATACTTTAGTAACCTCTAAGAACACTTGTGCAATGTATGGTTGGCATCCCATAATACCAACCTTACTAAGCATTCTTTGAAGCCACATATTCATTACCATAATCTTCAAGCTTACCATAATCCATAGTCATAAATGAGGAATTATACAAGTACGTGAACGAAACATAAGGAAAGTCATCTATTCATATCTTATCATATCATAAGGAAACCATTCCACAACATCCTAATAAGTCTCCTTGTGCAATGTTAAAGTGAAGTCCCATACCCCTACTCCTACCAAGTGAACCTATTAAGAAGTCATAGTATAGTTCCTATCATATTCATTAACATATTGTTATTAAGGAATAGTAGCCATAAATGATATAGACCATGTGAGCTACATGTAGTCCGTTGTCATATAACCCCATACCGAAAGAAGGCGTTCTTACTTGCCAAAGGTAGAACTAATCATATTTAGCTTCTAAGTGGATCCACTAGCTAAGTTCTATATTTGGCACATAGTTATGGGATAGGGTGATTGCTACTAGAAACCAAACCTATTGCATTAGCGGAGGAGCTTCCATCTCATGAGTTTACTATAGATGACCCAACCTATTGCATTAGCAGAGGGGCATTTCCTCATTGTCCATATCCACTCGGTACTAAGCATTAATTCCCAATTATACATAATTAGTATGGAATTGTATCTACATATGTGAAGGCATACTTTACACTTCATTCAATACAACTCACTAAATAGCTCATAGATTCATTTAAGTGAGAACTACCTTTCACATCCCAAGAATGGGGTTTTTTAGCCACACATCAAGAGATATAAATTTATACCTAATGAACTTGCATTCAAATGAGTATGAAGATTTAAGTCTTGTTACATGTCAAGAATGAAGAATCTAAGAAACCCAAGTCCAATTCCTTGGAGATGAAACCCTCTTTTTCTTCAAGTCTTCAAAACCATCTCAAACTCAGAGCAAAAATACTAAAAAGTACTATTCTATATGAAAAATATAATAATTGTTCTACACTTAAAACTACAATTCTAACTAGTATTTATAGTTTTCACAGATTTGTGCTACAGCAGATCATTCGGCATCGTTAGTTGGAATCACCGATCAACTCGGTGGATTTGCCCTTTGGTGTAGTTCATCATCGTCTTGCACCAACCCTCAACATTGTCGTGCTTTAGGTCAATGGGTGACATGGTACTACTTTGTGAAACATCTCGGCGATGCTTCGACTGCTCCCTCTTTCCGCCGACTTGATCCTTTCCTTCAGCGCTCAGCACACTGGAACAAAAGGTGAATATGTGATCTGTTGGAGATTTGCCGGATGGGTTCGGCGATTTGTTGATCTTCAGTTCTTCATTCTGTTAGCTTCTTTTGCTCCTTTTTGCTCGATCGTGTCCATGCTTTCCCTCAAACTTCAAATACTTGAAACTTCAAGGTTTTCATCAAATATCGAGACAAAACATGCATTTGAGGACACAATTTCTATTAAAATATAGCCCTAAATGAGTCCAATTTGTGGACTTATTGAGATACTCAACCAATAGCCAAATCGACAGGAGCGAAAGAACAAAAGGTTGAGGGAGCCTTGCCGTTACAGCAAATCCCAAGACCACCTCCTCCTTTCCTTCAAAGGTTTAAAAGAAAGCAGAGGATGGGAAATTCGTTAAATTCATCACCATGCTGAGACAACTGTCCATAAACATACCATTGGTGGAAACCCTTAAGCAGATGCCAGAATATGCCAAGTTCATAAAAGACTTGGTTACTAAGAAAAGAGTAGTGCGTATTGATTTGACTAACCATGTTCATCATTGCAGGGCTATTACTACCAGCTCTTTAGTGCAAAAGATGAAGTATCCAAGTGCATTCACCATACCATGCACTATCAGATCAATCAAATTTTCAAAGGCCTTATGTGATCTAGGGGCCAATATAAACTTGATGCCGCTATCCATCTACAAGCAACTGGGTTTAGGAGTTCCAAAAACCACAACCATGAGGTTGATGATGGCAGATAGGTCAGTGAAGCGACCTGTGGGAATCCAATGTGATGTGCTTTTAAAGGTGGACACATTCATCATTCTGGCAGACTTCGTGATCTTGGATTGAGAAATGGATTTTGAGGTTCCCATTATTTTGGGATGACCAATTCTGGCCACAAGACAAACCTTGGTAGATGTTGAGCGAGAAGAACTGAAATTTAGACTCAACAAAGAAGAGGTAAAGTTTAATATTTGTAGATCAATGAAGCATCCATTGGACATGAATATGGTATCTGTGATAGAGGTATTTGATGAAGTAGAAATGGGAGCAATTATTGAAGAGAGGCTGGCTGTTGAAACCTTAGCTGCAGTGCTGATTAATTTTGAAGCTGACTTCAGGTCTGATTATGTAGAGACCGTGAATGCGTTGTAGGGTATGGGAGCACATTTTTATGCCCCAAAGAAAGTGGACCTGGATTTGATAAACAGGCCAAGGAGCAAAGCCAGCCATTGAGGAACCACCTGTGCTGGAACTGAAACAGTTGCCAGTCACCTGAGGTATTTATTTTTGGGAATTAACAACACTTTACATGTGATTTTGGATGCATATTTGAATGATGAACAGGTCCAAGCTGTGATGAAAGTGTTGATTAGGTACAAAAGGTCCATTGGTGGACCATTGCTGACATCATCGGGATACCTCCAGGTATATGCACCCATAAGATCCAACTTGAGGAGGACTGTAGCCCAAGCATTGAACACCAGAGGAGGTTAAACCCACATATGCAAGAGGTGGTCAAAAAGGAGATAATCAAGTGGTTAGATGCTGGGGTGGTGTACCCCATTTTCGATAGTCAGTGGGTCAGTCTAGTGTAATGTGTGCCCAAAAAGGGTGGTATGATTGTGGTCGCGAATGCAAAGAGTAAGCTGGTCCCACAAAGACCAGTTACTTGATGACGAGTGTGTATGGACTACATGAAGCTGAACAAGTGGACCTTGAAAGATCACTTCCCAATGCCTTTCATGGACCAGATGCTTGATTGGTTGGTTGGAAAAGGGTGGTATTGCTTCTTAGATGGATACTCTGGCTACAACTAGATATCTATTGCTCCTGAAGATTAGGAAAAGACTACCTTTACATGTCCTTATGGCACCTTTGCATTTAAACGTATGTCATTTGGACTATGTAATGCACCAATAACTTTCCAAATGTGTATCATGTCTATTTTATCAGACATGGTGGAGGACACTCTGGATGATTGTTTGTTGAATCTTAGCAGGGCCCTACAGAGATGCAAGGAGGCAAATCTAGTGCTAAACTGGGAAAAGTGCCATTTCATGTCAAGAAAGGCATAGTCCTTGGGCACAATGTGTCACTGAAAGAGAATGAGGTCGACAAGCCAAAATTGAGGTGATTGAAATGTTACCTCCGCCGATCTGTGTGAAGGGTGTTTGAAGTTTCTTAGGACATGCCAAATTCTATAGGTGTTTTTATCAAGAACTTCTCCAAAATTGCACACCCCATATGCAAGCTTTTGGAGAAGGAGGTGCAATTTTTCTTTGATGAGGCATGTCTCAGAGCCTTTGAATGCCTAAAGGAGAAGCTGATTTCTGCACCAATGATCATTGGCCCAGATTGGGCAGAACCATTTGAGGTAATGTGCGATGCTAGTGGTACTGCTTTAGGAGTTGTGTTGGGGCAGAATCGCAACAAGATGTTTCATTCGATTTACTATGCTAGTTAGTCACTGAATGGGGCACAATGAAACTACACAATTACTGAGCAGGAACTACTGGCGGTGGTGTATGCTTTCGAAAAATTCAGAGCTTACTCGCTGGGCACTAAAGTGATAGTCCATATGGACCATGCAGCTCTGAGATACCTCATGGCAAAGAAGGATGTGAAACCAAAGTTGATCAGATGGGTGTCACTTCTTCAAGAGTTTGATTTTGAGGTTAAGGATAGGAAAGGTTGTGAGAACCAAGTGGCTGATCCCCTGTCGAGGTTGGAGGCTGAAAAGAAAGAGGAACTAGAGCTCGACATAAATAATTCATTCCTGGATGAACAGGTATTAGCCGGTACTTTTGATCTTATTCCTTGGTTTGCTGATTTTGCTAACTATCTCGTTAGTAATTTGATGCCTGAGGGACTGACATATCAACAAAGAAAGGGGTTCATGTATGATGTGGGTAAGTATTTTTGGGATGAACCTTATCTGTATAGGGTGTGTGCTGACAACATCATTAGGCGATGTGTTCCTGAAGCTGAGATGTTGCATATTCTAGAAGCCTGTCACTCCTTTCCGGTAGGTAGTCATCATGGAGGTTCTCGGACAGCTATTAAGATACTTTAGTGTGGGTACTACTGGCCCATAATTCATCAGGATACGGTGGATGTAGTAGGGAGTTGTGATGTGTGCCAGCGACAAGGAGCCATCTCTCGGCGCCGTGAGCTACCTATGACACCTATTTAGGAGGTGGAGCTGTTTGATGTGTGGGGAATCAACTTCATGGGCCCATTTGTGAGTTCCTATACATATTGGTTGCAATGGACTATGTGTCTAAATGAGTTGAGGCAGTTTCTTTGCCTGAGAATGATGGCAAGAGTGTTGTTGGTTTTCTGAAGAAGAATATCTTCTCAAGGTTCGGCACATCCAGAGCTATTATCAGTGATGGTGGTTCCCATTTCTGCAACAAGGTATTCAGTGTGTTTTTGATGAAATATGGGGTTAAAAAGCACAAGGTTGCAACACCTTATCACCCGCAAATCAGTGGACAAGTAGAGCTGTCCAATAGGGAAATAAAGGCGATTATGGCAAAAACAGTAAATGCCAACAGGACAGATTGGGCACGAAAGTTAGATGATTCTCTATGGGCATATCAGACAGCTTTCAAGATACCTACTGGTATGTCTCCATATCAATTGGTGTTTGGAAAGGCATGTCATTTGCCGGTTGAGCTTGAGCATAAAGCATTCTGGGCTCTAAAGAAACTGAATCTCAGTTGGAGCGAAACAACAAGTCTGAGACTGGATCAAATTAATGAGATGGAGTAGTTCCGTTTGAGAGATTATGAGAGGCCTACACTGTACAAGGAGAGGATGAAGTTGTATCATGATAAGCATATTCAAAAGAGAACCTTCACTCCTGGTGACTTGGTGTTACTTTTCAACTCCAGACTTCATTTTTTTTCGGGAAAATTAAGATCTAAATAGTCTGGACCTTTTAAGGTTACTCAAGTGTTTCGGTCGGGTGCTATTGATCTTGAAAATGACAAGGGCGAGAGGTTCAAAGCCAATGGTCAATGAATCAAGGCATACTTGGGTGTTCCAGAGGATGTGAAGATTGTGGAGGAATGCAACCTTGATGAAGTCTATGTAATCTAGTAACCTACGTCGTGCCAGGTATGTAAATTTTTCACTGCTTGGGAGGCAACCGAAGATGTAATTGTAATAGGTATTCTCCTTTTTCCTTATTTTTCTTTGTTTTTATAGAGTCATTGTGTGTTGATGTGTGCAGGAGAGACTAGCTAAAACTTGCAGGGACTGGGTGCAGACAACTCTTCACGAACTGCCTCACGAACCGTGGTGCCCTTCACAGGCAACTTCATGATCTCTTAATCTTAGCACCAACCAAATGAGGCTACTAGATATTGCCATAAAAGGGTTCACGGAATGGTTCACGGTCTGTCATCATTTTTACGAACCGTCTAGTCTCTCATGAACCTCAGGTAAGCACTTTAGTCCCCAAGTCATGTTCGCGAACCAGTCCATGGACCGTGTTGCCCTTCAAGGGCAACTTTACGGTCCGTCATCTGTTATCCAGCAGCACGAGACCCGACCCGACCCTCACTGAAACTAAACTTAATAGAAACGTATATTAGTTTCCTAAGCGCTAAAGGTTGGGTTCTTCCCCTTACTTTCTCTCCATTCGTCATCTTATAACGGTTACTAAAAGGTATAAACAGTTCCTGTCATCAATTCAATCTTAGTTCCTCAAAGAATCCAAACCCTAATTTAAAGTTGGTCAAGAATTTCAAGTCAAGTTCATCGTTTCCTTTTTGAGTAAAATTTTCTTCTAAGTCCAAGTAAGTCTTTTCTACCTTTTTATAAGTTTGATCTTATCTAAAACAAGTTAGATTTGCTTTGAATTAGTCGAGTTTAACATGTGTATGTGATGTACTATCTAGGTTGATATTTAATTGTTGTGGGTTAGTTTCAATTGCATATAGTTGAGTGTTCTTATATGTGGGTATGATCACAGTAGGTCATAATCGTGTGCTAATTGTGTTTGTCTAAATTGGTTGTGATTTTATGATGGTTAGTTGAATTTATGAAGCAAAGTGTTCATGTGTGGATATATGTTTGGTTGAATGAGTACTATGTTCAGTTGCCTTGTTTTTGATGGATACTAGTATGTGTGGGGTAAAACTGATGATTTATATGGGGATAGGATTGAAGTATATGTATATTGAATGGATATTGTTTCTGTTGTCTTTGTGCATGTTGAAATTAAGTAGGTATTAATAGTCATGTTGTGAACCTGTGTTAAAGATGAGGGTAACACATCCTATAAGTGAAGGTGGGGGAAACAATGACTGTTTGATTCTCCAAGTGTATGACCATGATAGGCTTCACAGATCGTGGAAGCCACTACGAGCCGTGGAACCACTCGTGGACCACACTTGGGCATTTCATATCATCACTGGCAATGTTCACAGATAGTATTATGGACTGTGGTTCACTCCACGGGCCGTGAAATCATCCGTGAACAACACATGGTCAATCAACTATTGCACACTGATCCTGTAATAAATTCATAAGAGGTTTTACGGACCGTGCTACCTAACACGGCCCGTGTAAGCTCCCGTACAGTCTACTTATATTTTGTAAAGTTTACTTTTTGTACTTTTTATTTCTGTTCGTTTATTGATTCTGTGGCCCTTCCGAATGATATATTGGATAACGACATTCTTAAGGCAAGGCGTCACGATGTAAACATACAGGGAAGTTTAAGTACCCGATAGTGTGTCATTTTATTGATTTGCATAACTAATGAGTTTTGTAATTCTCAAGTACTATGGCACCCAGAAGAAAGAACGAAACCAAACATTCCCCCCCATTGCTTCTTAATCAGAAGGTCACAATGACTCCAAGTCCAGTACTTCTGAGGTGAAAATAAATGTCACACCTAAAGATCACCCATCTCGAGATACTAGATGCAGCACATCGAGGGTCGTTCTCCAGGACACTCCTCCCTAGTCTGAAGAGGGAGGTAGTCATTCCGGTAGAAGTGAAGAATCGGGTAGTGAATCTAATGCTGGTTTAGGTAGCCAGTCTGCTGCTAATTTTGGGGGCAGTGCAGAGTCTGAAAATGGCTCTCAGGAAGATGAAATCACCTCTCTACCTGCGGTAAATACAGAAGCTAAAATTGGAGTACAAGAGGAGGCAGATGTTATAGATGAGGATATAGAGATCATCACTGATGATACCATGGTGATGTATGTGACCATCCATGAACCTGATCCTATAGTGAGATCGTAGCTGATTGACTATTTCCGTTCCATGTGGACTGTGAACCGGTCCGAAGAATTCTTCAACAATGGTATTGTGACCAAGAATGGCAGCTTCAAGAAGCGAGGAATCATGCCTGAGACTAGGGTGGTGGTAGTTGATATCAAATCATTCCCCGACATTTATTGGACATTTCAGTTTCACCAGTTTGACTGGAAGAACAATGCACCTGGAGAATAATCTAGCCACCTAGCCAGAGAGTTTTATTCATTTTATGCAGCTACACTGATGAACTTTTCTGCAGAAACAAAGACAACGAAACGGGACCAGAAAGACATTGCCATTACCTGGGGTCTACTCAACTCAATTATAGTTCGGGGAAAATCCATAGATATCTCTGAGACCACTATTAACAGGATGTTACATGGCCCGAAATACACTGCACCAACTTCAGTTTGCCTTTTTGAGGGAAAACATCATATAGTCAATAGTGATACTACAATGGAGATTTGGGATTCTCGAGAGAGGGTGTTGCGCTGGATTGCTAGGCAAATTGCCATAGATGGGGAGAATGCAGTTTGGGTCACAACAAAGCCAACACTTATTACAAAAGATTCATTGTCTTTTCCAGCCAAGGTTTGGTAGGCAGTTGTCCGTGCGCAATTGAGACTGACAGCTAATGATAACACCTTGTCTCCTTCACTAGCTTCCTTGGTAGTATGCCTCATGGTTGGTTATCCGGTAAATGTGGGGCAGATTAGATAATGAAGAATTCAAAGCACAATTGGCTGAGATGTGAACTTAGGTTGCTAAACTAGCTGAAAATCCAGTACAGGCACCCACTCCATTTATGCCAGATTCTTTGATGCAATTGCTCAATCAGGCACCTTCCACTCAATGACTTGACAATTTCTGGAGTGAACTACCCAAGAGTAAGTCTGGCAAGAGGAAACACCAAGCCGAAGAATCTGGTGAGGAGATACCTGCTGGCACATCCAGAGGGGAAAGAAGGCAAGAAAAGAAAGCTTGTAAGGCTTCAAGGAAGGTAGCTAGAGAAAAAGAAGCACTTGAGCAACAAAAATGAGATGCAGTGTTAGCTGGAGCTTCTGGTAGAGGAGTATCTGTCCCGTCGAGTGGTAGCCAGCCTGATCATGTGTTGAGTTCTGAAAGTGGACCCATTGATAAGGGTGCCGACACTGCTCCAACAACCGGCGCCTAGAGCGCCGTAGGTATGACCCTTTCTCACAACCTTGTTTTGTTTTCTTTATTTACTTTGTGGGCAAAGTCCTCTTTTTGGAAAGAGGGTGGTGAGAAACCTGCCATTCTAAGATGTTAGAATGAATGGAGGTTGATGTGTTTACTGTAAAAAAAATTGTCTTGTGTTGAGCTGTGCAACATCTAGTCTATAAAAAATGAGGACCTTAATCTGAAATTTGACTGTTAGGATCTTTAGATGACATTTTAGATACCTACATGTTGAGCATTGCTATTCTGATCAATAAATTGGTGAACCAAGACACTGGATAATGTAGTCTTGTGTCATGTGTGTTTGAAAGTTTTTCTTGAAGTCTAACACTAGGAGCAGAAACTAGTACTTGCCTGAGTAGTCTTGCATAAATCTGAGAATAACTGGATAGGAAAGGATCAGTAGGCCATTTTTGTTAAGCCACTAAAAAGCCAAAAATAAAACAACCAAATAAAAAGCATATCACTTGAACCCAATTTGAGCCTAAAAGTCAACTTTTGTTCTTACCCAGTAAATAGCATATCATTTGGTCTCCGAAGATACGATGTCACAACTCAGGCCAAAAGCCTAAGTTGAGGGTGATTGCAATCCGAGCAAAAGCAGAAGTGAAAAAGTAGGTTCAACCAGTGAGCTGAGTGCATATATAAAAAAATGCATATAAAAAAAAAGAGAAGTGTGAAGAAAATTAATGAAAAAGAAGAAAAGAAAAAGAACAAGGAAAATAATGGTTGTTGGGATGTGCTGAAATGAAGAAAAAAAGGAAATCATTAAGAAAAGATTTGTGTGAAAATGAAACTTTGGAAAACTAAGGGGCTAGTCACTCACAAACCCAAATATCCATTCCCTAGTCTGAGCCTATGTACATGCCGATGAAGTCCTACAATGATCCTATCCCGGGTATTTGCAAAAGATAGAGCGTATAAAGCAAGGGTAAGCCTATGGTAGTTTGTTGTTAGTGTTAGAAGTTCTTTTAGAGTGTGAGCATAGTACTTAGTCCCAATTATTATGAGTGAGGGACTTCTTTGGTGTGAGGACACGGTGATTACATTAGAGACTAGATTGTGTTAGGTGATAGTTCATAGGCATAAGCATGATCGACTGTGAGTAATGAGATGTCATATATTGATCCATGCTTGTTAGATTCATGGTTTTGGATACGAATAGTATTTGAGATGGCTGTTGCGTAGTTTCAAAAGTGTTTTAATGATTTGAGGGCTGAATGTATTGTTTCCTCATCACTTGAGGACAAATAATGGTTCTAAGTTGAGGGTGTTGATGTGCCGCAAATTCTTGAAAC